AGAAATGGAGGGAGAATAAAGGAGTTAGAGAGAGAGAGAGAGAGAGAGAGAGAGAGAGAGAGAGAGAGAGAGAGAGAGAGAGAGAGAGAGAGAGAGAAAACTTAATCGAGTGTTTTCTTTGTATATTGGACCAGGATCTTAACGACGTCAGACCACAGAATATCAGGTTGGAGAAAACGCCCCAAAACTACTCAGTCCATTAGTGATTTATTATAATTTCATGCGATGCTCTGCTTTTTTTATTTTGATCATCTGCACTTAAAAAATACCCAAACATATATTGTCAAAATAATGTGCTAACATAAATCAGTCATTGATTATGGGCAACTTTTTTTCTTTCTTTCTTTCTTTTGTTGTTGTTGTGTAAATGTTTTATGTTGCAGATGAATATGCTCCATTCTTGCCCATGAGCACCAGACCCTCATGCATGTGTGACCAGACCTGGACTTAGTGCAGGACCTGGATATTATGACCCACCTCCTGTCATGATCTACTGAAGAAACCACTTGTTATACAAGTCAGAGCTCTGTGTATACTTGAGGACCACAGAACGTGATCTGTTTGTATTATTTTTTAGAGTCAAAAATTTGGTCAAAAACTTAATATAATATCTTAATATTCTCATCAATCCCAAGAAAACAGAAGATTTATAGCAAGCCTTTAACCTCAATTTCCACTTGTTTATACCCATTGAACATAGAATACATTAATTTATGTGGCAATATTGCCAGTATAATGGTTAATTKGGCTGCTCAGAACATGAAGACTGTTTTTGAATATTATTTTAGAAAACATTTCAAAAACCTAATGGTACACATGAAATGGGATTACTTATTTATTTAGTCAAACTTCCATCTCAACCTTCAAGATCTTCAATGTTGCAATGATGCAACCAGCCAGCAGGGGGCAGATGAGTCAAAATTATGTTGTAGTTCTTTCTCTGGACAGGAACTTATTAAATCGTTAACTTCATTGTTGATTGATCAGCCTACTGTGTGATTTTGTAGGTATTAGAGGCTATCATTAAAAACTAATGCTTATGTTACCCACTTCCTATAAAAGTTATGTTGTTCTGTGGTTTAGTGGTTCGTGTAGTTATTGTCAASTGAACCAATCATTGCAGTTGTTTTTGTTCTGACTCAAAACATTAAAGTTGTGTCACAGGTGGTTAATATCATGCGTTTCTTTTTGTTTCTTCTCTTTATCCAGAAGTAAAAAAGGACCATAAGTAGTAGTTTTGTGAACTTCAGCCATGGGATCTTATCATTTGTTCACACACAAAAAAAGACAGGGAATTCTCTTTAAAGGTTTTTAAAACGCTGGCAAATTTAATCTAATTCAGGATTACTTGTTAGTACCTCTAACTCACCAAGACTGAAAAAAATGTAAGAAAACAATAATTTTCACAACTTTTTTTTAAACGTAATCTCTAGTTTCAGTCCTCAACAGAAGTCTGCTGCCCCTTGTGACTATTAATAGTACTGCACCCCAAGACAAGTTAATGGATTTGCTTTTGCAGCCTGGTGGCCATCACCTTTTCTCATATAAAATTTAAAATCCTACAAAAAATGAAAATGTTATCGGGCGTTTTTCAGTAACTGTAATAACCTGGAAAAGAAAAAACAAAGATAAAAAAAAAACCTTTTAATTCCCAACTGTTGCAAGGTTAGTGACTCAGCCTTTTGGATCTTTTACTGTGGTCTTTGTTCATATTCCTTTAGCAAATATAATTYTTGTTATAATATGATTCTTCTATGATTCTGCTTTTTAATTTTCTAGCTTGTTTTTCTATTTTATGCTTCTCTCAGTTCTCCTCTATCCCTCTCTGTGCCTTCTTAGTCTCAAACCATTCTGGCCTCAGGCRTTGCACAGCTCCTTTATAAGCCAGGGCATTTCTTTCTATTAGTAACCCAGACTTTTAAACTCACTCTTCTTGCTTTCCTCCTGCCTTTTTTTTCCTCTGGCTGCAGGGTAAAAGTCTCCAGCTAGTTCGTCAGCCGTACCTGTATATCCCATCCATTCCTTCCCGGGGCCAGGCCTTGGGCTACGAGAAGGATGCCCTGAGTGTGCTCCGAAAGCGTCAGTCCCCTTCCAGGGACACAACCCTGGGGCCAGCTTACTACAATCCACCGGCGGTAAGGGCAGATTCACACATGCATGCACAATCCTGTTTAAGTTTGAACTGTCATCCATCAGAGTGTGAAACACTTATTTATGCACGCTCGTGCTTTCGTTTATCTGTATGAGTGTGTGTCTGAGAGTGCTTACTCTGCCACGAGGCGAGGGTCCATTAGTGTTWGGGAGATCTAATGCACCACCGAACCTCCACATCACCTCCTTCACTTGGCCCCGAATCCATTTCCATAGCTAATGAATGCAGCTTCACTTTAAAAAAATGCTGCCGTATGCTCATGTTCATCTATTTTACATGCCTACAAAGAGAGCCATTAGTAATTATTCTTTGAGCTTTATTACAATATTCACTTAAAATAATGCACACGCCTGCTAGTCTGGTGCTCAATTAAGTAATTTTTCATCTGTTAATGACCAGAGGAAGTCAACAGCGTCCTTGAGTGTTGGCCGAGGTTGTATCAACACACCAGTGAGGGCACAGAGGCGTGCGGAGATTTCAGGCTATCAGCGGTGCATCCATCCATGGCTCTCTCTTTCTCTCTCTCTCTTTTGCTCTCTCTCTTTATCTGAACTTCTGTTGCTCTCCCTTTGAAAGCTCAACCTTTGCTTCCATCTGTCTCCTTCCCTTTGTTCATCTGTCTGACACGCTCTTTTTCTTTTAAACTCAACCCCCCCACCCCATCCCAAGCACTGACCGAGTTCAAAAGTGTGGAGAGGCGGATTTAAGTGGTTGTCTGAGGAAGTATCTTCAAAGTAGCCGGGACAACCTTTGAATGATAAGACATTAGACGGGAATCAAAAGGACATAAGTTTGTTTTCTGTCTGGTTGTTATTGGGCAATGCAAAAGCACTGGCTTTATTTTTTTATCTGCTTACGTTAAACTCATTGTTGAGGGCTGGCATCAATAAAAATGGCTTTCCAATATTGATTAATATTTACATCTTGTATGGAAATTCAGAGAGAACCTAATAAGCTTAAAGCAATGGCTCGGATCTTTTGAAGCGGTGCTCTGCAAAGTTTGTAAACAATTATTATCCTATAGCTCGTTGAATTACCTCAGTTTGGGGTTAATTCCCACCAGATTGATGAGCTAATAGCTAGTCTGTGCGTAGMCAAACCAAAGTGACTTGTTGCCATCTTAAAAAACTCCAGTCTCAAATATCCTCTAGGTATTCATGCAAAAACATTTAATAAACTTAAAAACGCCAATAATTTTGTGTTAAGCTGTTATTTACAAATCATTTTGTTATTTGAAAGTTGTAGCACTTTTGGTGCAGTCTGCACTTCCAATAGGATTGTGAAAATTTATAAAACATCTTTTGCATAAACCTCACYCAGACCACCTGTCAGCTCTTTGGTCTGGTAAGAATTAAGCTTCAGTTCTCCAAAGTGAGGCAGTTTATAAAGCTGTCTGGAACAGGTAAGATAGTTATTATTAATAATCCTTTCATAGGCCCCTCTCACTTCAAAATATATGAATTCTCTTTTTAATTAATAGCTAATTGATTTACTAAAATAAAAAAGAAGAAGACGCATATAAGAAGTATCAGCAGAACTCTTGTTAGAATAAAATGTTTATTTTGTGGCACACTGCCTGTATGGTTTTCACTTGTAAACAGGCCTTTCTGTGTTTTAGGTTGGTGCAATAAAAGCTATCATTACAGCTTGTGTGTCTGCATGTGATGTCGTGATTTTCTTAAAAATTTAGAACTTGCCTTACCTCTTATTTTCCCTCCAAATGTCGATTAGAAGCGTACACAGAAAAATCCCCTGCAGCTTCTGTTAAAGGAAAAAGACAGATGACATGGCTTCGTAGAAATTTCAAGGCTTTTTGCTAACACCCCTACAGCCTTCATACAAAATGCACAGACGGTCAGGTCAGGGAAGAGAGAGACCGAAGACTTCAGGCAGGTTATTAAAGAATTATATTCTTTTTCTCAGCTTGTTTCATCTTAACGTGCYAGTCATGAGAATTGCTGACTCATCTTGTTTTCCTGCTTCTAAATTWGATCTTTTTAAGACCTTTTTGCGTTTATTCAATCGCTGCCATCAAGATAAAAACATAAAATTCAGTCAGAGAGAGGATGGCATACCATCAGCTGAAGTCTGCCCACTATACTTGAGAGAAACTCTCTCATGTGGTATCTCTAAGATGTGTTTGGTGACAGCTGGCCAGCTCATTTCCAGGGAAGCTTCTTGCAGTTGTTAAGATTGAAATGGACTGTTCCTATCTGAGAGGCTGGAGGCAGAGGAAGCAGGCTGTAAAACTCAGAGACACACCAGCACACAGGGTCTCGGCTAGATCTCTGATATGCTGAGGCATTTGGCTGAACTTCACATTTCATTTAGCTCCAGCTTCTTGAGCTGAGCTGGAAAGAAGAAGAAAACAGATAAGTGTGAATGACTCGCTTCTCTTCTCTAATTCTTTGACTGTTCAATTTTCTTCTTGTTCTCCTTTCTGGCTGCAGTCAGAGAAGAGGTTCTCGCAGTATAAAGGGGTTAAGTTTGGCAACAAGGAAGAAGAGAAGAGGGGCAAACAGAAACAGGACCAGCTCCAGGACAGTATGACCCTGAGATGTGAGTATAACAAGTCATTTGTTCTTTTAAGCTTGATTCCATTTCAAAATTTCCAACTTTAAAYGGACAATTCAGATATTTTGCTGTGAAGTTCTGTGGAAAGATTACAAACCRTTAGTATTTTACTTGTTCTAGATAGCTCTTTGAATGAGCTTCTTTTGGAGGAATACAATTTAATTCTGACTCTATTGGTGAGTTACAGCTAGTCTGAGCAAAGTGGATTACTATAGTCTTAAAATAACTCCAGTCTTAAAAATATACTTTACAAATTGTTAAATTGTTGTCAGTTTAATATTACATAATTATTCTAGCAGAAATATGATGATGGCATTCCTGCAGGAAGTGCTACAGCTGCTACTGCTACGGAGTTTTGTTCAGACAAAGACTTGAACTGTCCCTTTTAATTTCCAAGCAACTGTCTGTGTGTGTGTGTGTGTGTGTGTGTGTGTGTGTGTGTGTT